TTGGCAGTGTTCACAGTTTTGTCACAACTTTCCGAAGTTTCAATGACTGTACTCCATTCGTCTCAAAATATGTGTTATTCTAACTTTTCGAGAAATCAAACACATTTAACTTTGACTAAATTTATTAAAAAAAACATTAATTTTATGGTGCACAATAAGTATCATTAGACTAATTGTTGTATATATATATTCATAATAAATTTATTTGAAGATAAAAATATTATTAATATTTTCTACAAATGTAACCAAATTTCTTAAAATAATTACCATGTATGAAACCAAAATGATACTTATTTTGGGACGGAGAGAGTGTACTCCCTATGTCCCAAAATAGATGTCATTCTCACTTCCCGAGAGGTCAAACATTTTTAACTTTAACCAAATATATATATATAAATACTAATATTTATAATACATAATTAGTATTGTTATATAGATTTTTGAATATATTTTCATAATAAATTTATTTGGAGATATAAATGTTGTACGTATTTTATATAAATTTAGTCAAAGTTGAGAAAATTTGACATGTACGCATCCTATAGCAACTTCTATTTTGAGACGGAAGGAGTAGGTTTTATGAAGCGTGCAGGACTCTCCGGTACGCGCAGGGTAGCCAATTTTTTTTGTCTTTTCCTGAACGGTCGATATTGTAATATTGAATTGAAACTACAGAGACGACAAAGTAGATGTGGAAAAAAGGGGTCAAATTGGACTGACTACTACTGATCAGTGCTATAGACAAAAGCGAAGACTTATCTGACCGCTTCAACACAATCCAGCACGGCAACAACAGAGACTAGTCGCTGATCGAAACTACGGTGATCCAGGCCTCCATGAAATAGCCAGGAGACCCCGGCCCATTCCATCCATGATCTATCTCTTCGATTCTCTCCCTGACACTAACTAGCAACGCACACATGACTGCGGTGCTCTTGCCATCACTTGTTCTGCACACTGTAGCCTTCTTGCTACAGCTACCACTACCAACATTAGCTGCTTCCCAAACAACAGAGCCGCCTGAACAACAAGGCTGCAGCTCGCCCAAGGCATGCGGGAGCCTGAACATCTCGTACCCAATCTGGCTGGAGGAGCCAGGGCAGCCGCCGTGCGGGTCGCCGTCGTTCCAGCTCAAGTGCAACAGCAGCGGCGCGTTCCTGAGCCGCTCCATGTTCCAGGCGTACCGGGTGGTGAACATCTTCTACCAGAACAGGCTCCCTGCACGTGGTGGACGAGAACCTCCCGCTCGCCGCCGGCTGCCCGGCGCCGTGCTTCAACCTCTCGCTCAGCATGGGGTTCATGCCGGCGTTCGCCATCAGCAGAGCCAACAGCGAGCTGCGGTTCCTCTCCCGGTGCGACGAGCCGGTGCCGGAGGCTGTGCCTGGGTTTCAGCGCATGCCTTGTGACAACTACTCGTTCATCGGGTTTAGACGGCGGTTCGGAAGAAGCTACGGTGGCAGAGAGCACGGCGCAAGACCGCCGCCGGGCTGCCTTGTCGCTGTCGTGCCGACTCTCCCGGCGACAGACCGGGACAGCAGGCACAACTACGTCGCGAGCTTGAGGAGTGGGTTTCTGCTGGAGTGGACGGTGGTCTCAGGGGATTGCTCCAAGTGCACGGCAAGCGGCGGGGAATGCATGTACCCTGACAACGGCCTGGGTTTCTCCTGCAACTGCCCCGACGGCATACATTACCCAGTGAACTGCGGTGAGTACAAGTTATTTCCCATTACGTTACACTCCATATATAGGTCAGTTGATAGCTTTCTTTGGGAGACTGTAGATTATCTAGCCAAGTGACGGTTCTTAACTAGCATGATTCCGTAGTGAAGAATTTCCTAGGTCTGTCATCTATCATGCGATGATGCAAAATTGCAAGCCATCAGATCATGTCTGATGGTGTCATGGTGCAACTCTCCAGGCTATGCAAACCAGGGGACCTGTCTCACTCAGCTCTGTTCACATGGCATTAAGCAGAGTATGGGAGACTTTGACTAGGCTGCTGATACTGTGGGTTCCACTAACCTGAAAAGCTCATTATTTCAATGGGGGGAAAGTGTTAACAATCAAGGTGTTACTGGTCAAGACTTTTCAGAATTTGAGTGCCCTCGCTCTCCCTCTCTATCTCTCACACACAATTTCATTAACTCCATTTAGTTTGCTCCGTAAAGTTGAGCATTAAAGTCACTCCAGAAAGAGCCCTCGAATCAAGGTGCTTACTTTTGATTTGGGAACTTCCTTTACTTTAAAGAGTTTGTTTTTTTATCCCACTTTAAGAGGAGTCTTCAAATCAGGGCTCTCAAATCTATTCCAACAGAAACTGATATAATAGACACACTCGTCATTCCCTATTTTTCTCTCTTCCTCGCTCTCATTGACTGAGCTATGAGGCCAACGTGCTGCCAAGAGGTCGGGTGCCGAATCTGGCCGGGGGAGGCGGAGCCATCGGCCAAGATGCAACCAGGCAAAGGCGGAGCCACTGGGGAGGAGCCGGTCAGCGGTTCCCACTGGGGGGAAAAGGCTGGGGACCACCGGGAGGAGGCCGCCACTGCACGAGCAAAGAGGCGATGACACCGGACGGTGGCGGAGCCACAATGGAGATGTTGGGAGGAGACTAGGTGAAGGTAGAGCGGCTTAGGGAAGAGCCAGAGGAGGTGGCCCACACCGGTAGAGGAGGCCGGACGAAGGTGGGGCTGTCGGGGGAGGGGTGGTGGAAAGTTGGAGCGTTGGCCCACGGCATGTTGGGTGGAGCATCGGGCGGCAGCGTGCCGGGCACAAGGGAGAGCGGTTCCAAATAGGGCGGAGAGATACACAGCTGAGACTGTGGAGGCCTGAGTAGAGACCATGTTGGAATTGTGTTTTTATCTAAGCCTTTAAATTTTGGATTCAGTGCCTATTTAAGGGATCTGCTGGAGTTTGCTCCTAGAATGCATGGCTCTGTTTGTTGTACAGACCGAAAAGAGACCAAATACTATGATGAACTTACAGCTAATGAACTAATGCATCCTGGTATCTATGCACTATATTTATAGTCATTATTTATGCATAACCTCCCTTCATTTTGTGTGCAAAGTTATCTAGCTCCTCCTAGCTAGGTGATCCCCGTTTTAGTAATATATAGGATCATTAGTCCATTGTTACTCATCACTTACTGTCAACACCAGTTTTCAAAATACTTATATGGTGTCTACAAAAAATCCATGATTAACATTGTACTCTCTACGACTCCAAATAAATCAACTTTTATAATTGTCATATATCAGTCTTTAATGTCTTAAGTTTGACTAATTTTATACAAAAAGTATTAACATCTATGACAAAAACAAGTATAGTATGAAAATACACTTCGTGTTGTACTAATTTTGTGTCATAAATATTAGTCTTTTTATAAAATTCAGTCAACTCCAGAAGCTTATTTATTCACGGATGGAGTACTTTGGCTACCTATATTGAACTCATTATTTATTTGGCCATGCTTATATCAACCATAAATTCAAGCAACATGCCTCAATCTAAAAAAGTATCTCTCTAGCAATGTTATGGACACTTTGAATATTATACGCATTGATTCCTAAAAAAAATATTATACGCGAGACAATCGATGTAATAGTACAACTATTTCCTTTTTTCTTGATTAATATTATGTGCTTTTCCAGGTAGTAAGAGGACTGGCAGCAGAAAGATAATGCTGATAGGTAATTAATTTTGTTCAGCCATATTTTTATATTTAACCATGTATTTCAGTTGTGACAAAATTGTTCTATATATTATGAATTGCTTTAAAAGTTCACTTTCTGCAATGCAAGATCATAGAAGTGCCACATTAAAGTTAATGTTTAAAATTTAGAACAGACAACCTTTATGCCTTTGGATACAAGACTGGTGAATTTGGAGCAAAATTTGAGAGTTTTATCTTGCTAATACTAATTTTGAGGCCTTACATTTTAAAAACTTTACTCTTATTATTGAAATTTAACAGTTCATAATATAACTTGCTCCTTTTTAAGAGAAAAATTAACACGTACTTTAATTCAGTGTTGACGGCAGTGGCTGGAACCTTCCTCCTTCCATGTATTTATGTGCTGATATGTCATAGAAAGGGGCAAAAACCATGTTTTCTCATTGGTAAAACGACTATCAGCAAAAACGAAAGTTACATTGAGGTCTTAATATCATCGCATGGATCACTAGCTCCAAAAAGATACAAGTACTCTGAAGCAACAAAAATAACATCTTCTATAAATAATAAGCTTGGAGAAGGCGGTTATGGTGTGGTTTTCAAAGGAAGGCTAAATGATGGTCGCCTAGTTGCTGTGAAATTCTTGCATGACTCCAAAGCAAAAGGGGACGAATTTGTGAATGAGGTTATGAGCATTGGCAAGACCTTGCATGTTAATATTGTTAGTTTGTATGGGTTTTGTTTGGAGGGGTCAAAACGAGCTCTTATATATGAGTACATGGCCAATGGTTCCTTGGATAAGTACATCTACTCGGACAACCCTAAACAAATTTTAGGATGGGAAAGGCTTTATGCAATAGCAGTTGGGATTGCTCGTGGACTAGAATATTTGCACCATAGTTGTAACAACGTATTGTCCATTTCGACATCAAGCCTCAAAGTATCCTTCTTGATCACGATTTTTGCCCCAAGATTGCTAATTTTGGTTTAGCTAAATTATGTCGGAGTAAGGAGAGCAAGTTTTCAGTGACCGGTGCTAGAGGAACAATTGGATTTATAGCTCCTGAAGTGCATTCACGGACATTTGGAGTGGCTTCGACAAAATCAGATGTTTATAGTTATGAAATGTTGTTGCTAGAGATGGTTGGAGACAGGAAAAATGTGAAATTAATGGTTGAAAAATCAAGTCAGAATTATTTTCCAGATTGGATCTATGATCACTATGCTCAAAATGATGGATTACTAGCTTGTGAAGTTGCACAGGAAGAAGAGGAAATCGCAAGAAAAATGGTTTTGATTGGCCTGTGGTGCATACAGATATTACCTATGCATCGCCCTACAATAACCAAAGTTTTAGAAATGTTTGAAAGTGGCTCAGATGAATTGGAGATGCCATCGAAGCAAAACTTCAGTGAAGTGCTGTAAGATAGCTTTTCACTACTCATTTATGTACCTGTCCAATGCCATTTTCATAAAGCTGATACATTCAACTACTTTCCTTCTTTTTCTTTTTCAGCGAAGAACTAGCTTATAATATGAATGCAGAAAGCACAAGTCCCAGCAGTACTACGACAATACAAGCTTATAGTGACACGCTAAAGGCTTACAAATCATACGACGCTTACCCGGCCACTTTGATATGGGCATCTAGCAATACCATCAGTATTAGGCATTAATTTCATCATAGCCTCATAACATACTCCCGCAGTGGCCTTGTATCTGTACCTGTATGTATGTATATTAAAATCCATACCTGCAGGGGGATTCGCGTCCGGGGAAGCCATCTCCATTTGTTGTGCGGCGTCTGCACTCTATATACGCGTGGCTTCATGTCAGTGGCACCTACCGAGCATTTTGGTGGGCTGAGCCTGTTATCAAATGGGCCAACAACACTAGGCCGTAGGTGTTGGGTCCGCTATACGCGGGGGAGGAGGTCGGCATTTCTCCCCCGAGATTGTATGGCTGCCCGTACTATTTTTGCATGCACGCAACATCGAAAGCTCTATGCAAGTAGCCACTGTCATGTACGCAGCAAAACACGGTGACTTAGAGCATCTCCGACAGTTCTCTAAATCCTCTCCTAATCTTTGGTTTTTAGAAAGATTAGAAAAAACCTTCTCCAACAACTTCTAATACTTCTTCCTAAAATTTACGTACTTACCCGTTCCGCGTAACTTTACGCGGACGCGACCTCGCACGGATACGGCTTCCCGCTCCACGGCGAGCCTCCCACTCCGGCGAAGCTCCCCGCCGTCCGCCAGCGGCAGGACCACGCGCCCGGCCCACGCCTCGCCGTAGACGAGGTCCACCGCGCACATCTGCGTCATGAACGCGGCCGCAGCCACGCCGGCGGCCCGCGACACGCGGCGCGCCCACGGCAGGTGCGAGTCGTACACCAGCACCCGGACGGGCCGCCCCGCGCCGGCCTCGGCGTCCAGGAGCGCCGCCAGCGTGTCCGACCCCGCGGCCTCCATCCGCCGCACGTACTCCGCGACGTCCAGGCACGACGAGATCCCGCCGGCGTCCAAGCCGTCCGAGATGGCGGCCACGGGGAACGGGCACGACCTGGAGGTGGAGGTGGAGGTGGTGGAGAGGACGTGGCGGGAGACCACCAGGGTCGGGCGCAGGCCGTGGAAGGCCAGCCGCCGGACGAGCTGGATCATCGGGTTCGCGTGGCCCTGCATCCCAGGGAACGGTAGGAGCAGGACGTGCGCGCCGCAGCCGTCGCCGTCGCCGCCTTGGACGAACGTGGTGGCTGCGCCGTCGTCCATGGCTCCGTATTCGTGGCGTTGCAACGGCTACATGGCTTGTCACTCGCTGATCTGACTGCATTAGTAATGGTCCAGTGGAGTAGCGCGCAAGCTTCTTGGATTGGGAACGGAGGGAGAGCTAGAAGACGTGCATCAGCTCAGCTCTACGGCGAGCCTCCCACTCCGGCGAGCCTCCTCATTTTTTTAGATGTCAATTATTGGAAACCGTTGGAGATGCTCTTCTTTTTTTTCTCTCAATACCATTTTAGAAGTTTGGAAACTCCATATTTTTAGGAGGAAAAAAATAAGAAACTCTTGGAGATGCTCTTACCTTGTAAATCCATATCACTCTTAGAATCTGCATCTTCCCGGCGTTCCTGAGCACTGTTTGTAAATCCACATCAGAAACTCAATCATGCGACGCGACGCACAGAAGCACAAACACACGACACGCCGCGTCATCTTCTTCCTCGCGACCCCGCCGCGTCGTCTTCAACCTCCATTCCAGAATATATGCCCTGCGGGCTTAGAAGGAGGAGGGGGCCTTGGGAGGCAGCCGGACTGGCGGTGGTGGCGGGTTGACGGGCAACGAGCAAGGCGGCGAGGGACAACTGTATCGGATGGACGAAGCTGGCGGCGGGGGCGAGATGCTCGAGCTCTGGCTCCTCCGGTTTATGCTCAGTTTGTAACCTCTCATAAAATTACTCTCCAAATGTTACAGTTCAAGTGCTCAGATTTATATGCTTCTCCCCTTCCAAATTATTTGTCATTTGAACTTTGTTTTAAAGTTGAAGTTTTCCTAACTTTGAGAAAATATATAACTAGCATGAACAAGATCAGATAAATGCACTATTAAGAATGGAGTTTTCCTTGTTCATGGTAGATTTGATGAAACATGCACTTTTCTATAAACTCGTCAAAGTTAGGGGATGAATATAATTTAGAAAGAATGAAGTAGAAATTGATATCTGCGTTGAACAGTTGGACAAGCATTACCACAATCCGATTTTTTTTAAATAATATTTTTTAACGATTAATTGTAAATCTAGCATTTGGATTGTAAGAATTGTAAGTGTAGTATATTGTTGGCCTCTTGCTAGCTGATAGGGCCCCTATCGGCAGCTGGTGGACCGACAGGACCCTGTTGGCGGCCCAGTAGCCGAGTAGGTACCCGACCTTGCCAGACAGCACAGCCCAGTGGACCCATATCGGCCCGATAGGCATGTCGGCGCCCCTATTGCCAATAGGACCCTGTCGGCCTTCGGATAGCCGGTAGGTCATAAAATATCTAACCGGTCATCTTCTCCCTCGCGTTCTCTCTCTCGCTCGCCGTTTCTCTCTCTCTCGCTCGGCACCGGTGCCGCTCGCCGCTTCTCCTCCGCCGCGCGGGCGGCTTGGGCTCGCTGCCGGCCGCCGGATCCGGGGAGGGCTTGCTGCCGCCACCGGCCACCTTGACCGCGGACCGCCAGCCCCCACATCGCTGCCCCCTGGAGGCATCTCAGGTATGTTTTTTTTCTTTTTTAGTTAGATTTTGTTAGTTTAGTTTATTAGCTAGATTTAGTTTTAGGGTTAGGTTAACTTTTAGGGTTAGTTATTAGTTTTTTTCTGTTTAGGGTTAGTTAGTATAGTTATTAGTTTTTCTTCGGGTAGGGTTAGTTATTAGGTTTTTTTTCTAGTTTTTGGGTTAGTTTTAGATTAGTTATTAGTTTTGGTTGTAGTTGTAGATTAGGGTTAGTTTTAGGGTATAAACTTTAAGTGTACCTCAATTAACTTACACGATATTTTGCACGATGTGAACAGGAATGTCGACCGATTTAGTCCCTTTCAGAATTTACTATGGGAACAGTGAAATCAGATATGGAGACAGCGGGGTAGACCTTACCGATTTCCAGTTGTTTGACATAGAACTGAATTCGCCACTAGATTATAGCCGGAAACAAGTTTTAGCCTGGCTACACGAGCACTTAGGTGTTCCGCCTACCCAGCACCATTTCAGGATTAGTATGTTGGTGCCTAAAAAGCGGGAGAATGGATGGAGGTGGGAGCTGTACGAGGCCAGTAACACGAAGAAGTGGTATTTTCTTGTGTCCAAGGCGTTGGAGCGTCATTATGCCAACATCATGCTTGTTGAGTTCTTGGACGGTGTCATGCAGGGTGAGAGTAGCAACATAGGTGCAACAGAGGAGAACTTAGAGTCGGTAATTGCTGAGCAAACCTATGCTTGCGATCCTCAAGCGGTTGAGAACACGTTAGAGGCTGGACAAGCGGAAGAGTATGGTTCGTCCACGGAAGCTGACCTGGGTGAGGAGGACGAAAGAATCGTCGAACAGATGGAGGCTGACTATGCGGAGCACGTCGCCTTCGTGGATAAATTTGCTAGCAGGAGGTTTGACGACGAGACCGACATCCCAGAGGACAGGGTTCACATCGCACCTGATGCCATGACGGTCGATGATGGTCATCATTCTTCGTGGGAGTACTCAAGGATTGAGGTCAGACAAGGGCAGATGTTTCATGACAAGGTTCATCTGCAACACGCTGTTCGGCGCTAGGATTTTTCTGAAAATAGGCAGTTTATGGTTGTCATTTCTTACATACGTTGTCCTATCCTTACTTTGCAAATTAAGCATAACAATACATGAGACAATACATGCCTTGTGACGAGATCCTAACACACAGATATGTTAAGCCTCGGGTCCAATGGTTCTCGAAGGAAGAAGACCCCCCGACCGACCCCTTTAGGATCACCCGGGGGCTATGCCCGTCGGGCACGCTCATGCGCACCCTCTGGCAAAGAGACTCGGCCATGCCTGACTCGACCGCAGCTTCCGCCTAGGGCTCAGGGGCTTCCTCGAGCCTTGGGCTCCTGATCTATGGCATGACCAAGCCCGGTCCTTAGCTCCTGCCCGGCTAACGATGTCAGCCAAGGCCCGGGCACAAGAAGATAAGCCCTAGGCTACCGATGCCCGGAGGCTCCCTGGCGTCGCTCCTTAGGCGTGCCCCTGCCAACTGCTCCTCCGACAGGGTCATGTCCGGCGCATGACATAAGAAGACAAAGCTTCCCGCGGCCTCTGGGGGCTCGGGGGGCTTCCAAGCCCGCGCGTCAACCCCTGGAGCCGACCTCCTTCGTCACCAAGAAGACTCCAGAAGGTCTCACCCGGGGGAGGCCAGTCCAAGCCGACACCGCCTGACACACAGAGTGTCAGAACAGAGTAGCCGAACGACGCCCAGGCTTCTTCGGCTCCAAGACTCCTCGACGGTCCACGGTGCACCGCTGCAAGCCCCTCCTAGACTCCGGCGCACGTAGACCATAGACTAGAACTTCCAAATCGCCTTGTACCCTTCCTATCTTGTTATATAAGGGATAAGGTCGGACCTAGAGGGGGGGAGGATGCGAGTTCAATCACTAGACACTCCATTCCATTCCATCTGCCTCCACTCTGCACCGAGAGCAGGGCAACTCGAAGAGGGGCACCGAGGGCCTCTCCTTCACCGCATCCCGCTGTCTCCTTCCTCTTCGACAAGGGGGAGACTCCACCAGTGGCAAGGCAACCTTAGGATTAGCACCGAGCTAACCCCCTATCAAATTTCTCTTTCTTTACACTCTGTTGTAACCTCCCAGATTTTGGGTGCTCGAGTATAAGGATCATTAGCTGCTAGATGTAGGGACCGAATTAGCCCCAAACCAGGATAAACCATTGCATCTTCTCTGCGTGATTCTTGTGTTCCTGAGTCCACCCGAGCCACTGGAGACCTCGAACTCTGACATCGACTCAAACAACATGCTTGCCGCGGTTTCGACCTGGGACTGCTGGAGTGCCAGGTAGGGGTAGCGTCAAGTGTGGTTCTAGCTCTATGGTGGCCAGAGCCACCCGCCTTGTCGCCGGAGCAAGCGGCACCGCCCTAGACGATAGTGTCCGCTTCCTCGACAAGTTCTCCGTCGCGACCGGTGCCTACACTCCGGGCCAGGTCCTCCGCTTCGGTAGCCTGGTCTACATCGTCGATTGCCACGACGAGCTCGTCTGCTTCATGGGGCTACGCCAGCGGGCAGTGAGCCCTCGGCGTCACCTCCCCAGCCAGGGCCCTCGAGAGTGGATCTCGAGGTCTTGGCCCAACAGATTCGGTGCAGCTTGGGCCCGGATCCCACTGTGTCGAACTGCCGCCGGATGTCCTACAAGTTCGCCAACGTTTATCATCAGGTCACCGCGGGCAAGGTGCTCCCGCCGCCCAATCACTTCTAGTACAACCTCCTAGATCTGCCCTCGAGAGTCCGGAGCATGGTGGAATCCTTCTAGATGGAGTTAGAGCACCTCGTCGTTCGTGAGGCTCCACGGAGCCCCATCCTCTCCGGCGCGGCAGATTTTGGGTGCTCTTAAGTATAAGGATCATCAGCTGCTGGACGTAGGGACCGAATTGGCCTGAACCAGGATAAACCGTTGCGTCTTCTCTGCGTGATTGTTGTGTTCCTGAGTCCACCCGAGCCACCGGAGACCTCGTACTCTGACATCGACTCGAACAACATGATCGCCGCGGTTTCAACCCCACGACACCTTGCTTGCAGACAGATATTTGCAGTGACGTGGGCAACGAGCTACTTTCGTATGCCCAGCGGTTCAAGCACAACCCCCCAATGGTTGGTAGGCTGGAGTTGGTTGCCGCCCTTCGACAACTAGGGCAACGTTGTTTGGCGGGAGTACGCTGGGCATCATGCCGCCACACCACTAACATAGTTGTTCATGCCCACCAGGGTGTGCCTCCACCTCCACCTCCACCACCACCTCCAGTAGACGGATCGGGAGGACGTTCTCGTCCATCCCAACATGAGCCGCAGCAGAGGGTTCAAGTCCTAGGTAATTCAACGATTACCTTCCTGATTTCTCATGTACTATGTACGTAACATGCTCTATCCAACCTAGCCTTTTTTTTATAGGTACACGTGCTTCTTGCAGTGACTACACGGAGGGTACTAGCAGCTTTGGGTCCTTTCACACGGATGACACTCCACCTTGGTTCCCCGAGGA